GCAGCTGAGTCACTGTTCTATATGAGTGTATTAGAATAATCTCATTAAGTTTTGATGTGCCACTGAAAATAGCATATAGCTTGATTATTTTTAGTTTTAATCCACTTTGCTGAAATCCTATTAATTAACTGGAGAGATTAACCCATACTTACTGATGGCAATTATTGATATATTTGTATTAATTTATCTCACTATTATTTTTCATTTTTATCCATTTCTTTCTGAGTCTTACATTTTTCTATTATATTTATTAAAAATCTTTTTTTCTCCTTATCTCATTCCATTTATCTTGCCTCTTCCAACAAGGAAATCATAACTTTATTTCTATTTTTTTTAGTTGTCATTCTATGAATTTTAACATACTCTTTGTTTGGGGTTTTTTGTTTGTTTGTTTGTTTTGGTACTAGGGATTGAACTCAGGAGCACTTGGCCACTGAGCCACGTCCCCAGCTCTGTTTTGTATTTTATTTAAAGACAGGGTTTCACTGAGTTGCTTAATGCCTCACTTTTGCTGAGGCTGGCTTTGAACTCTCAATCCTACTGCTCAGCTTTTAGAGTCTTTGGGATTACAGGCATGCACCATTGTGCAGGCTTTAACATACTTCTTTAACTTGATTCACATATATGAGTGAATAAATACCCTCCTCCCCCAAAATAGGAAAAATCAGAGAAATGTTTTTAATCTAATTATCTTTCTTCTGAAAAATGTATATTTGTGTTTCAGAATTTTAGTTCTACATTGAATTTTTTTAATCCAATAATTAGCTATTTTATTGTTGTCTTATATAGCCAATATTTGTTTAGATTTAACCACACGTTTTCCTTTTTTCATGTTTTTAAATTTTATTGACATTTATTCTGTCAGACCTTTCATCTGGGATCATTTCCTTCTCACTAAAAGGCATCTTTTGGCAGCTTTAGTACAAGTTTCATGGTGGTAAACTCAGTTTGTCTTTCTGAAATGTTGATTTTTGCTCTTTTTATTAAAAAAAAAGATACCTGTAAATATAAGATTCTTGACTCTCAGTAATTTAGAGATAGCATCTAATGAATTTCTGCTTTAATTGGTGTTGAGAAATAAGCTCTGAGTTTTAAAAATTTTTCTAAATCTATTTTTTAATTGACACATAATATTTGTAATGTGTATGGGGTATTATAAGATTATTCAATTAGAATATATAATGATCAAATCAGGGTAATTAGCATTTTCATCTCCTTTAACATTATCATTATTATGTGTTGGGAAGCTTTGAATTCTTCTTTTCTACTTATTTTGAAATATGTCACTAATTGACTATAATTACCTATTGTGCTATATAGAACACTGAATTTTTCATTTTATGCTCTATAATTTTAATATCTGTTTTGTTTATAGGCCTGATTCTTTGTCTTCCTGTAACATCTCACTCAATGCAATTATTTCATTATACATTTAACAATTTTTTAATGATCTTATGTTTATTGGAACTTTGGGAAATAAAGGCTTAAATTGAAAATTCATACCTTGAGAGGAGATTTATGTTTGTTTCTATATGGCATGTGGAGGCATACTAATATATAACAGATATTCAGTAAATATATTTTAAATGCATGTAGATGTTGTAGGCTCAGCACATTCGCTCTAAGATCTAAGTCTCCTCATGCTATTTAGTAAATATCTGAAACAAGTTTGTGTTACATATTCTTTGAATTGGAATTGTCTTCATATACACCAAGTATAAAATTGTCTCCTCTTTATCCTTCACCTGGCTAACTTAACATTGACTTGGGAGATCTCTGTTTTTTATTGCTTTTCGGGGAATACTTCCGAAAGTCAGCTCAAGTACCATCATTAACACAAATTGTGCTGATAGCCTACCTGTGTGATTCCATTTACTCCAGTGTAGTTTTTCACAGTGTATTTAGATTTATGTCTGAATATGAAAGCAGAAAGAACCTGGGCTCAGCTGCTTGGTCTTAATTACTTTTGTTCCTTGCACTTTGCCTAATTTCTAAATGGTTTTTTATGAATCAATGAATGAATAAATAAATGAGTGAATGAATGAATGAAATAATACCTTTTAGAATATAAATTTTCAGCCCCCAATATTTTTATTTTCAACTTTGGGGATTTTCTCTTTTGTCTTAGTTATCACACACATAAACACACACACACACACACACACACACACACACACACACAAATCTGTTTGTGCCTCAGGTCTAAATGTCTAACTCAGAATCAGCAATTTAAACTGATAGCTTCTCAAACCAATGTCTTCGATTAAATTGTTTCCTTTAGTCAAAGAGAAAGAGCACGTTAACATTTAAATGTTTTAAGACTCAAAATACTTTTATTGTTTTTAAAATGTGAGATATCACTAGCAAAGGAAAACCATTATCATTAGTTGCTCAATTAGCTATTAATTATATTTGTTATATTCTACTATACTGAAGAATGGCAGCTATTTCAGAATCATTCTTCATTTGCATTCAAAGCTTGAATATTGAAAAAGCCATTAAATTAGCATCTTAATTTCTTTACCAGTTTGTTGACACCATGACTCATATTAAGAATTTCACTCATATTAAGAAGCTTTATGAAACGTGGACTCTGCTGAGATTGTTTACCTCTCTGAAGCTTCCCATTCAAGGAAACTGTCTGTGTCAGCTAGAATTTAGCACTTTTCTCATTTTCCCTTTAGTTATCTGTGCATACTCTCAAAAACATTTATTCAGCACATACTTTCTGGGCTAGTCACCTTGGTATACGGAAGGGAAGTAGGTGTATACCAAGATGAATCAGGCATGACCCTCCTGCCTCAAAAACTTCTTTATCAAGTAAGAAGTAGAAGTAGATTACTATAAAGGTGTCCCACTGTATCTGTGGATATAAATGTCATTAATTTCTAACAATTATCAAGTTTTACTATGGGCCAACCACGGTATTACATATTACATTTCATCATATCTAAGTCTATTGATTATAGGATGCATCATTTTTATGGTAATATGCATCATTTTTTTTCTTAAGAAAGAAAAAGGTACTCCTTAAAAATAACTTACTTTTAATCATAAAAATCATTCCAAATATCAGAGATGTTAGGATGGGGAAATACAGGACTTAGAATTTATTAAAATATATTAATTCATTTAATCTTCTCAATAACTCTTCATGTTAAGTAATTTATTATTCCCATTGTATAAGCAAGGAAAATGGTGGTTTCAGAAATGTTATGTAACTTGCACAGGATTTCACAGATAATAAACAGATAAGCCAAAACTGAAAACATACTGATGAGATACCAGATGTGATCCTTTTTAACTTCTATACCAAATATGTCTTGGATTCTTTCTGTTATAACATGTTCAGGAATTTCCACATCATTTGTTCCTGATGTGACTCGTCATTTAAAATTAAAGATCCCTGGGACTTCTGCTAATCTTTAAGAGCATTTGAGAATTTAGTTGTGATAATGGAACAATTTTAAAAACAAGCTATGTTTTGGAAAGCATTAAACTAAAGAAAAGACTAAACATTGCTTAAAATGGTTAGCATACTCAGACTAAAGAATGGTTAGTACATCTCACTAAATCAGTGATGAGGTAATTAATTTTTTAAGTGCATGAATATATAACTAACCATATTATAGGTAGGTGAAGACGTAACAATTCTAACAAAATGGTAAAGACTGTAACTAAATTTGAATTAACTTTTACTATGTATGTAGATGTCTCTTTTCCTATTTCTTTAGAAGGAAAATTAGTACTTAGTGGAAACTGTCCATCAAAGTACCCATTAAAATTTTCTTTTTGAGGTTTTATAAAAAGAATCAACAACATTTCTTTCTTTACAAGATATTGAAAATTAATTCTAACTTTACATGAAATGTTGCAGATAATCTCTGTAAAGAGCCGAAAATGAAACTTCATATTTCATCTTTTGTAACAAGTACAATCTACTTTTGAAAAAACTAATGAGTTAAAAAATAGCAACCATGTGCTACATTATTTTTCCCCATAAATAATGAATTACATGTAGGAGCAAGTGGTAGTTAAATATACTGTGGGCCAATTGCATAGTCATGGATACCAAAGACGTCATCTGTGGAAACGCAGCAAAACAGAAGTGTCGAACAAAAAAGATCTCCTTAAGATAATTCTTCCAGAAATGAATAAAAATTCTGTCCCAGCTGTTCATATCTTGTAGTCATCAAAATGAGTTGGACAAAGCTAAAAAACTGAATTTATTATTTTCAAAAATATAGTACCATAAATACCTACATTAAAATATTCAGATCACCAGTGTACTTGATAAAATTGCCAACATTTTTCTACCTCCTTCCCAGACCTGCTATATTAGTACCTATTTGAGCAGAGCCTGAGAATCCACATTTTAAACAAGCACTTCCATCTACTAGTGATTATAGCTGAATTTGAAAACCATTTCTTTAGCACCTGGCTCTTCCCCACCTACTACTTTGGTCTGATACAAAATATGAACTAACCACCAGTGGTTTTTTCTTTTCACAGAATATCAGAAGTTAAATGTTTCATTTACTAGGTATTTATGAAGCAGTGTAGGGGGATACCAAAGACATATAAATAACTGTTCAACCTGATGAAATGGAAGTAATGCTTTATGAAATGTAACATGATTGCACAAAAAGAGAATTGAGGTAATCCTCGTAGCTGCAGGAATAGAAATAGATGCCAGAAGTTATTTCCAAAGAAAAGAAATAAGTAGGATTCAGCAGCAAATTGAATGTAAATGGCAAACAGAAGGGGAAAGAATAGAATACTTGGGGTTTTGCATCTGGATAGCAGAAAATAACGAGGCACGAACGCAGACACAGAACATGAAACCACTGTGAAAACAAGAACAAGAGAAAGTGAAGTTTTTATAGCTGGCTTTCTTTCTACTGCATTGATAAAAATCATGCCTTGAATTTTGCTACTAAGTTTATGTATGATGGACTTGACCAAATTGTGATCTAATAAATGATTATTTTCTATTTCAGCAATTGTTCAACTGTCAAGCTCTACGAAAACTAAGTATTCCTGATAATGACCTTTCAAGTCTGCCAACCTCAATTGCTAGTTTAGTTAATCTTAAAGAACTCGACATCAGTAAAAATGGTAAGATTCTCATCTCCAAATATCTTGATTTTTATTGAAAATGTGATTTTTGTTGTAAATAATACAAAATAACTTTTTCTTTGGTTTTGTTAAAACTATAAGTTAATTTTTTTGAAAAATTAAATTTTAAATTATAATGCAAAGACAGAGAGCCTCTCTCTTGTTTTACCAATGTGTCTGAATTACTCAGACCTTTTCCCTCTGAATTCAGACATGTGATGTCTCATTGAGAATATTCTTCTGCCACTTTACTACTTCTTCCCTTCATTCTCAGAATATTTCCAATAGTTTTCAAATATTACCTACTTAAAAAAGCCTACTTTCTACCCTACATGAAATCATACTCTCAGTTTCTCTTACTGGGCCCCTATCTTTAATCTCCTCACAATATTGTATAATTGGCTCATTTACTATGCTAATTGTCTATCACCTTCTGACCTCGACTGTAAACTTCATCATGTAGTGGGAGGTACTTTTCTCTTTTGTTGTACAACATGTAGCACAAACAGAGATGTTCCCAGTAAATAACCAGGGCTTAATAGTATTTGTTGTATATTTGACCAAACTTGTATACCTGGTGTTTTTGATGATAATGATGCTCATGTTGATATTCATGTTAATGATATTTACTGTATTCATGGAAGGGAAGTTTGATCTTCAGAAAGCCTTCTGCAACTTTATTAATTTATCATTTATCTCCAAATGACTTCAGCTCTCCTTTTTATGAGAATAAAGCAATGATCAGTCACAGGGGTTATATCTAGGCATTATGAAGATATGAAATATGACCTGTTCAGCGCTAACTTTGCCAGTGAAACTTTGTGCTTGTGTGCACTTGAACAAGTAGTGCTGAGGGTATTTCAGTCAGTATGCTTGGTGCCAAGGGCTAGGCATGAACAAAACAGGTCGCTGCCCTCAGGAAGCTTATGTTCTAGTAAGAGACTTAGACATTGAACAAGTGATTATGGATTATTAAATAAGCAGGTGTGTGTAAAGATATATTTAATGTAAGGACATGAATATGAAAAGGATGTAATATATTCCATGTGGTTAAGGATGGTTCCATATCACTATAACCAAGCTCAGACAGCATCAACAATAGTTAGGAAAAACTGACTTGATAGTCTAGGTAAATTAGAATCTGTTTTGTTAAAAAGACCACCAGAAAAAAAAAATTTCCTAGTCACATGAAATATGATATCCCTGAGGAATCTGATGCTGTACAGAGCTCCATGATAGTATCGCAGTGGCCTTGTCCCTCTTTATTCTGCCAGGAGCACTCCTCCAAAGATATCTGCATTGCACATTCCTCTAACATTGTCAGGCTTTTGCTTAAATGTACTCTCCATGGTCAAGCCTTCCCTGACCAACCTGTTTAAAGTAAGATGCAGCTGTTATTATCCACTAAAAGCACACCCATCCCCCTTCATTGGTTATATTTATTTTTCCCACCTGAGAAACTGATGCCTCGTGTATTTAAAATATTTGCATATCGTGTGGACTCACCTTAGTAGAATTAAAAATTCAGTGATAATCCAATTCTTGCTATGTATTCCACTATATTCCCAGTGCCTAAAAGAGTATGTAACACATGTAGGAGCTCAGTAAATTTGTATTGAAAGAATTAATGAAGGAATGGTTGAGAATCATCAAGAAGTTTTCACTGTCATTTGTGAGGGGGGAGAGATCAGATTGACACACGTAAGTAATCAGTGATATCATACAATGCTATCCAAAGAAGTACTTAATCACATAGCACAAATTGCAATTATACATTCTTAGAGAATGAAATATTAATTAAAACTGCTAGAAAAGAATTCAAGTATAAGATATAGCTTATAGATTTCCCTGCAACAGGATTGCATCTAAATAGAAAATATCATTTTGTGTGAAAGTGGTAATAAGAGTATAAACAAAGGATACAAATATCTTTCTACACCAACTGAACTCACCACTTAGAGATTTTTTTTCAGGAAGATAATCATAGGACTATATGCATGTATATAGAGAGAACAGCAATTAGACTTTCACCAATTGAAAGATGACCTCACATCTACTATTATTCTGTGTGTGTGTGTGTGTGTGTGTGTGTGTGTGTGTAGTGTTGGGATCAAACCCAGTGCCTCATATGTAAGAGGCAAGCACTCTGCTGCTGAGCTATAACCCTAGCTCCTACTATTATTCTTTTAAGAATAGATATATTTGTCTCTTCTTTTAAGAATAGATTTACTTTACTTAGATTTAAGAATAGTTCACATATGTGTATGGACTGGTATTTCTGCACTTTCATGACAATTGCTACTACCTATAAATTTATATATATTCATACTTAAAGTCCACTTCCAGATTATGATTTCTAAAAAATATCATATGGCCAAATACCACATCCCTCAGTCTTAACGCAGAATTAGCCAGATTATTCAAGCAAATAAAAAGCTATCTGATTTTTAAAAAGAATGAGAAAAATATGTCACCAAAGATAAACATAATACTCTTGAGAAATTGGCATTTTTTATTTTTTAATTTGTTTTCATTAGTTATACATGACAGTAGAATGCATTTTGACATATCATACATAAATGGAATATAACTTCTTATTTTGGGGTTGTACATGATGTAGTTACACATGTAATCATCATGTGCACATAGAGTGATGATTTCCAATACATTCTACTATCATTCCTACCCCCATACCTCCTCCCCTTCTTTCCCTCCCCTCTGTATAACCAAAGTACCTCTGTTTGTCCTTCTTACCTTAGTGTTAATTAGCATCCACATATCAGAGAAAACATTTGGCCTTTGGTTCTTTGAATTGGCTTATTTCACTCAGCACAATATTCTCCATTTCTATCCATTTACTAGCAAATGACATAATTTCATTCTTCTTTAAGGCCAAGTAATATTCCATTGTGTTTATATACCACATTTTCTTAATCCACTCATGAAGGCCACCTAGGTTGGTTCCAAAGCCTGACTATTGTGAATTGAGCTGCTATAAATTTTGATGTAGCTGTGTCACTATGCCGATTTCTAGACCATTGGGTATAAATCAAGGAGTGGGATGACTGAATAAAATGAGGTTCAATTCCAGGTTTTCTGAGGAAATCTCCATACTGCTTTACATAGTGGTTGCACCAATTTGCAGTCCCAAGAGCAATGTATGAGTGTACCTTTTCCCCCAAAGCCTTACCAACATTTATTTTTGCTCATATTTATGGTTGCCATTCTGATTGCAGTAAGATAAAATCTCAGTGCAGTTTTGATTTGCATTTCTCTAATTGCTAGAGATGTTGAACATTTTTTATATTTGTTGATTTTGATTATATTTTTCTTTTGTGAGGTGTTTGTTCAGTTACTTGGCCCATTTCTTGATTGTGTTATTTGTTTTTTGGTATTAATTTTTTTCAGTCCTTTATATATCCTGGAGATTAATCCTCTGTCTGAGATGTATGTGGTAAAGATATTCTTCATTCTGTAGGCTCTCTCTTCTCATTATTGATTGTTTCTTTTGCTGTGAAAAAGCTGTTTAGTTTGATTCTATCCCATTGATTCTTTTTTTTAAAATAGTGCTGGGGATTGAACCCAGAGGTTTATGCATTTGAGGCAAGCACTCTACCAACTGAGCTATATCCCCAACCCCAATTTATTGATTCTTGATTTTGCATCTTGCACTTTAGAAGTCTTATTAAGGAGGGGCTGGGGATGTGGCTCGATCGGTAATGCGCTCACCTGGCATGCGTGCTGGTTCGATCCTCAGCACCACATACAAACAAAGATGTTGTGTCTGCCAATAACTAAAAAATAAATATTAAAAAATCTCTCTCTCTCTCTCTCTCTCTCTCTCTCTCTCTCTCTCTCTCTCTCTCTCTCTCTCTCTCTTTAAAAAAAAAAAGTCTTATTAAGGAAATCAATTCCTAAGCCAGACATGGTGGAAATTTGGGCCTCCTTTTTCTTCTATTAGGAGTAGGTTCTCTGTTCTAGTGTCTAAGTCCTTGATTCACTTTGAGTTGATTTTTAGGTAGTGTGAGAGAGAGGGGTTTAATTTCATTTTGCTACATATGAATTTTCAGTTTTCCTAGCACCATTTGTTAAAGAGGCTATGTTTTCTCCAATGGATGTTTTGGGGGTCTTTGTCCAGTATGAGAAAACTTATTTATGTGGGTTTGTCTCTGTGTCTTCAATTCTGTACCACTGGTCTACATATCTGTTTTGGTACCAATACCATGCCATTTTTTGTTATTATTACTGTTTACTATAGTTTAAGTTCTGGTATTGTGATGCCTCCCGCTTCAATTTTCTTGCTAAAAATTGGTTTGAATATTCTGGGTCTCTTATTTTTCCAAATGAATTTCATGATTGCTTCTATTTCTATGAAGAATGTCATTGGAATTTTAATAGGAATTGCATTAAATCTATATAATGCTTTTGGTAGTATGGCCATTTTGAGAATGTTAATCCTGCCTATCCAGGAGCATTGGAGATCTTTCCATCTTTAAAAGTCTTCTTTAATTTCTTTCTTTAGTGTTCTGTAGTTTTTATTGTAGAGGGTTTTTGTTAAATTTTATTCCCCCCATTGTTTTTGAGGCTATTGTGAACAGGGTAGTTTTTCTCTTTCAGTAGAATCATCATTGATGTATAGAAACACATTTGATTTATGGGTGTTAATTTTATAGCCTGCTACTTTGCTGAATTCATTTATTCTAGAATTTTTCTAATGGAATTTTTTTGATCTTCTAAATATAGAATCATGTCCTCTGCCAATAGTGATAGTTTGAGTTCTTCTTTTCCTATTTGTATCTCTTTAATTTCTTTCTTCTGTCTAATTACACTGGCTAGAGTTTCAAGGACATTATTGAATAAAATTGGTGAAAGAAGGCAGCCTTGTGTTGTTCCAGGTTTTAGAGGAAATGATTTCAATTTTCCTCCATTTAGAATGATGTTGCCCTTGGGTTTAGCATAGATAGCCTTTGCAATGTTGAGGGATGTTCCTACTATCCCTA